CAGGCAGACAAAAATAATGAGCTTCGACTTACAGCTCATGGAAGTTCATTCAATGGAGTCGTAAAAGATTTACAATCTGTTGCAAAAGAACGCCATGTTCTGTTTGTGCAGGATGTAAAGAAAGTTCGGGAGGATGTAAACTTCAAGCTTGAAGAGTTAAAGATCGAACTTGCGAAGGAGCTTCAAGATATTCTTTCTCAACAGATTGAAGTTCAGAAGCGGGTTGATGTAGTTGTCTCAGACATCAACAAAATTATTGCTGCTCCTATCATTGATGCGAATCATAAAGAAGATATGGCGAAGTTTGATCAGTTGATTCAAATGGTGACTGAGTTGAAGGCCTTGATTTCACAATCTTCATCTTCGTCTATTCTTACTCCTGAATTCTTGACTCTCAAAGTAAATACTTTGGAACACGCAATTCAGAAGGCACTAGCTTCGATTGCGAACTTCACCTCTTTACTACCAAAGAGTACCCCACCTGTTTTCATAAGGGTACTAGGGGAGAGAAAAATTTAAGTAAAGAGGATGATGCGAAGACCGTGGGAAAAGTAATATCTACTCAGCTCAAATCTACTCTTCCAATACTTACGATGCTAATTTCCTCAACAATAATAACCACAAAACCAATTGCCAAAGGAATATCGATTGGGGCAAAAGAAGGAAGTTCGAGTACGAAACCTCAATCTGATATTGTCAGAAGAGGAAAAGGAATTTTGTACGAAAAATCGAAGGAGGAGAAGAAAGCTGAAGTAGAGGCTGAGTTGGAAAGAATGAGACAAGTCCAAAGTATTATGAGGCAAAGGGCAAGTGATCCTCCTACAATGAACAAAGGAGATCCTGCGAAGCTATACTCTTATGAAACTATAGAGTCAAGAGTTGTGGGAAGGGAAATGTATGAATTCGAGAAGAAGCCAAAGAGAAGTTATGATATTGCGAATTCAGACAATTGTCAGTTAGATTTTCCGATTAACGAAATGCTCTTCATTACAGCTTAATACAAGATTAGTGAGAAGTTTGATAATCCTGATGACTACATACACATGAAAATCAGATTTCATGTTGTATTGGGGAAGAATCCAGATGAAGTATGGTCTTTAATGAATATCAAAAAGGTGTTAACAATCAAAAAAGAGACGAAGTTTAAATACATGCTTCAGAATTTTCGTTACTTTGTTATTCGAGCTGATAACAATCAGTATGACTTCACAATAGTTGACTTCCCTCTGATGAATTGCAATGATTTGATTAAAGTGGCACTCATTTTGAAACATATGGAAGAGAATAAGCTCAAAGGATCTGAGACTGAAGTGTTTAAGATCGGGTTCGCAAATGTCAAGACGTATATCGACAATTACTTCAATTGTTTGGCTCTAACTGATGAAGAATTGGCAACTACTTTGGGAAGGGAAGTGAACGTCGCTTGGGAAGAAACTTTAACCCAGTCAGCATTATCAAAGTATGTTGTTGGGGAAATATGCTTGAAACCTTTCGGCATGGTGTTTTCGGGAAGAAATACGAAGGGAAAACCCAAGAAATTTTTGTTTAAGGTCTCAGAGGTTGAAAGATATACTTCTTCACAATATACACACTTTATTGTTCGTATGAACAACTGCAAGAAGAATAATGAAGGAGACAAGAAGGAGCTCAAGAAGGTGATTTCCTGGTATAGAGAAGTGCGAAAGACAATTCACTCAGTTGTTCAAAGGCTTATGGACTGAATAGCTTCGACTGTTTACAAAGGAGGAGATTGTACAGGTTAAATTGTAAAAGTCGAATTGTGTGTTTGTTTAGTTTCGCATTTTTAGTTATTTTACTAAGTCAGTTTTATGCGAAGCGTATTGTAATAGACTTAGTATACTTTTTGTATACTCATGTCTCCTATAAATAGGGACTGAGGATAGAAGTACAAAAAAAAGAACTTTTGCACTCGAGTATTCTTTCTGCTTAAGCTTGGTAATCAGTCTTCATCAATATAAGATCTAATTAATATTTACTCGTTGTATTTTTACTTTTCAATCATTCAATCATAATTGCTTTCATAATCTCGATAACAATTCTCTTCAAATATTACTTCATTGGGTGAATCAAGTGTGAATGTCATTATAAATCATGATAGCTTCTTGTTTTTTGGCCTCAATTTCATCATTATCAAACCCTAAGCTCATCCTTTATCTCCTCATGAATTCAATCAAGAATGACCTACAAAGCAAACAATATGTAACAACATACTTTCAATAAGATTGTCCTTCATCGTTTAAAACTAAATTCATTTTAAAGGGTAAACAAACCATTAATTGATGATAACATTATAACTTATAAGATACCTTATTATAAATGAATAAAGAGTAAAGAAGCTACCAATTATAACCTTTGCAAGTTTGTCTTAAATGAAATCCACTTCCTAAATTTGAAAAATATGATGGAAGGAGGATGAAATCATGATACTCAACTCGTAGTGTTAATGATCATCTTTCACTTCAAACCACGAAAAAGGAATAACTAAAAGTTATTATACATCACTAGCCATTTAATAATAAAAATATTTAAATTAAATTCTAAAGAGGATATTTTGAATATATTCATTAACCATGAGTAGCAAAACCATAGTCCTTATACTCTCAAGAACTTCAATATTTATAAAATTAAATGCAATTATTAACTAATTAAGCCTTCTATGTTTATGTATGATCTTGAACCAACCAAACCTCCATCATCCCAAAAAATTGTAAATAATAAACTTACTCGGTGGCAAGGCAAGAATAGAAGTTCTAGAGATGCAACCAATATCTAAACATTCTTTAAGTTGCATATAGAAAACAGAGAATACATCATCAATATCAGTTGCACATGACAAATTCCTCATATTCAAAGAATAGCAACTTACACTTTAAAATACAAATGATTGCTTTAATTATATTTATATTAGTCAACAAATTAAAAGTAAAAGTTTAGTTTAGAGAAAATGAAGAGCTGTGGGAATGGAATAAGAGCATGAGACTAGATTAGAAGATATAATTTGCTGATCTCACCCAATTATACCTAAATTAGAATTTCAAATCTTTAAAGCCTAAAATGCCATTATAAGGCGGATTTGACCACTTCATATCAATCTTCATTCTAACATTTTTGTAAGGGAAAATATGTCCAACACATTTTTTTTATACATATACAACTAATATAAAGTCATCTGTTGGTACCAAATACCAAAATTCATTCCAACCATTAACAATAACATAAGCGAAAATCTATCAAAACTAACTCAAATGTAAAAATCCATAAAAAAGAAATTTGAAGGTTGTACCTCCTTACATGCTCCCTTCTTGTTTCTTCAAGGTGTTGAAATAATTTCTCAGCATTTGTTCCTCTAAACATGTTTAAGATCAAATTTTCAACAACTAACAATCATATTTTGGTTAAGAGACTATCTGATTTGGGGCATAGAGAGCCTGATATTTTCCGTGCACCTAAAAAGGAAACCAATCCCGCATAAAAAAAATTAAAAAATAAAAAAACAAAAAAAAAAACTGAAGTCGTGAATCGATGGTGTTGCGGTGGGGGGTGGTCGTAATCAACGTTGGGGTGTGAAAACAATTTCTCAAATGTCGTACCTTGAATTCATTTGAAATTGGAACTTCATTAGACAACATGAATATTTAGGCATATAGATTATAGCAATCTTGAAAATAAATGTCGAAAACATAGCAAGAGTCGTGTTGGGGGTAAGGTGGCCAGATCGACGATGTTTAGGGTGGGGTGGCTGGTTGAAATTAGGGTAAAATATTTTAGGTGGAGAATTTTAGAGGAAGGGAGCCTTAAAAATTGGGAGGGGATTGAAAATCAACAAAAATAAAATATAGGAAGGAACGATGGAATTGAAAATCAGCGAAAATTAAAATATAGGAGGGAACTGAAATTAGCGAGGGATCTATCTTGATTTACCGAGTAGAATTTAGGGTTTATGGACGCTGGTTTGTGTTGCTGATTAGCTATGAATATATTTTGTCGTTGATTGCGTCGCTAATATATCATTATCTAGTAGTGGAATCTAGTGGGTTGTGGGTTGTGGTTAGTTATATTCGCATGTTATCACATGCGTTCAGTTATATATGATTATTATGTGAAGTTTATTTGTATGATAAGTTTTTATACTGGATAAGTGTTTTGATTAATTACAAAATCTTAAGCTTAATATAACTATTTTATGTTTTAGTTGTAGATCCTTCAGGTATGATAATGAGTTGGCTTGAAAGAGATATCTGAATATTTTTGGAGGCATGGCTTCCATTTATGTTTATGCTTTATATTTTGGATTAAAACAAAAACTTAGTTTCAACATTAGATAATGTTTTGTGATACTGTGTTTTATTTTGTGATACTGTGTTTTATGTTTTTATAGATGGAACCCTATTTTTAGAAAAAATCATATTCTGATTTTGAAAATTATTGAAGTGGATTTTTTTGTTACACGACATACTTTAAGCGGCAACAACAATCGTGTCTAACTTGAAGTCGCCGCTAAAGACGGTGCCCCTAATAATTCTCTTGGTGTTGCTTCTCAATAACGTCTGGTTTAGGCATATGCCAATTATATATTTTATTACTTAAATGTAGCTTTAGCTTTGAAAAGTTATGGTATGATTGTATATTTTTTTTAGAGTAAATTACTGAAATCATCTCTGTGGTTTGGTTAAAATTACATGTTTGGTTCCTAACTTTTTTTTGCACTCAAATCGTCTCTGTGGTTTATTTTGTTGCGTTTTTCGTCCCTATGGTTTGGTCAAAATTGCATGTTTGGTCCCTAACTTTATGTATGTAAGGAACAAAAAATACAACAAAATCAAACCGCAGGGACGATCCGAATGCAAAAAAAAGTTAAAGATCAAACGTGCAATTTTGACCAAACTACGTGGATGATTTCACTAATTTACTTATTTTTTTATTAACATAAACTTTAACTTTGAAAAGTGACGGTATAATTAGATTTTTTTTATTTAAAAGGTACGAGGAATCTGCACGACTGCTATCCTGAACATACACAATCTCCAAATCTTAAATTAAAAAAAATCAAAATTTATAATTTTTTTTGTATATATAAGACTGTATATACAAAATGGCACTGCTTATTAGGTACCATACTAGCATATAATTAATTACATAACTACAACTACATAGATGAATACTTTTAATGAATCTGAGTCCGTTAATTATTGTGTAGAATGCAGGTGATATCATAGTCATCGTGTATCATCGTCAGTCTACTTCTCAAACCCTCTACACAATGATTCATGCAACGACTATTTCCTTTGAGTTGTTCAAATCCAAGACTGAATCGAGTAGTTATATTTGAATGAATTCATTCCACTGATATGTGCAAAGATGTCTGAAGATTCAAAATTCTCCTCCTCTTCCTTTACAACCACCTGCTCATATTGCATTTAATTTAAATCCGTTAAATATTTCATATATACGTTCCAGTTAATGTAGCAATTAATTTGATCGATTATCTAATTAAAGCTTGCATTACCCGAAATGATTTTATGTCTTCATCTGTGTCTTCTTCGTGGTTGTTGCATGTCGTTCTATTGTTCTCTCCATATTCATCGTTCTTCGCAAACCTTCCTCTCACTCGGGGCCTACTGTCTGCCAAAGTTTTTCGGCATGCATACTGCAACAGTAAATTTCTCACAACATCTGTAATTATTATCAAACAACAACTAAATCTTTCTAAACATACCTTGATTTTCTTACTGAAATTTCTCTCGTTTCTTTTCTTCATGTATTTATGGATCTTTTCTTTGCGTTCTTCAGTAGTGAGTTTACTAGCGACTCTAAACGTATCAGTTTCCAAACTTGTGATTTCTGAGGCTAATTGCGTAGCACAACTCCCACTTCCATTTACAAGATGATGGCTTTCGCTACTAAGGGCCTGAATTGGTTTCCAAAACAATATTAAAAGAAATCAAAAATATCGAAACATTATAAAAATAATCTTGAAACCCACCTGAAGTTCATTAGGATTGTAAGCTCGTGGTAAAGGATCTGGACAAAAGATGCTACCATTGTCTCCCTTAAAATCTAAATCATGAGGTTGAATTTCATTCCCTAAGAAGAAATTCCCATTGAAGATCCCTGAGCTTTCAATAGGAGGGTTCGAGTTCCCAGATAGGTAGGAGGTCACCACCGGATCTATGAACGAGCAATTAGGTGAGGAAGTTTTATTCAAGCGCATGAACTTTGAAGGTGGCATAGAAGATAAGCAATCATCTTCACAAACTGTGGGCAATACGGGTCCCATTTTAGGGACAACATGATCTTTTGGGTGAGGATGATGATATGCCTGAATCTGGCCATTGATGGCGTCGTTGTGATCTGGGATTTGGTTTTGGAGTAAAGAGAGATCAAACTGGTCATGATGTCCAAACTGGTATTGAGGGAGGCTGTGATTTGGAGAGGTTGTGAAGTCTAGACTGTTTTCGGTTATTTCTTCATCAAAGATTATGGAGAAGGTGTTGTTCGACTTTGCAATTTTAGTTGCGTTGTCTATCGGAGTTGGGTATTTGATTATATCGGGAGGGAAGGAGAGGTTAGTGGTGTATGAGGATTGATCTTCATAGCAATAATTTGAGCTCGAAGCAACTTCTGAGTTTTGTATCGTCTCTGGGAATAACTCTGATTCACAGAACTCCAATATTTGAGCACTTAATGGGCTCGACACTTGGTCCTGTCATTCAAAAAAGAAAAGAAAAGTAAGCTTAAAGAAAAGCAAAAGCCATATAAAATAAAATAGTGAAAAGCACGTTCAATAATATTCCAACCTTGATACAAATACCCGTTTTAAATAAAAAATTTGAAGCACAGAATAGACCCATAAAATTGTCACAATTCATAAGAGACCTCAACATAATTTATATACACACATAGATTCCAACAAGATGTTGATCATCTCAATCATGGTCACGATATCTAAATTGAATCAAAGAATCAAATAACTAAGACTACTTAAACATAACGCGGTCATTGAAAGTGACACATTAATTTGTATTCTCAAAATCATTCCAAAAGGAGATGAAATTTGTTAGAGAGATGCAAGCATATATATAATTAAAGATTGGCTAGCCAACGTGAGGAAGCAACACGCCCTTGAGACGATGCTTAATGAGATTAAAAGTAGACATGTTTCGAGTCCTTGAAGATGCTAGACTTGGAATCTATTATCTCCATAGATATATACGAGCGTTACATCTTCTCTAGTCTCTACGATACACGCGATTAAAAGGATAAATGAGACTACAACATACACTTGCAATTTGCAAATGGGACCATGCCTCGCTGATACATGATATTAAAAAATGAAGGCACATCCGGTTTTTAGATGACGAGAATCAATCTAAGATGATAAGGATAAAAACAGCCAAAAGAGAATTTAATCAAGTTACACCAATCTTCAAAGCTTTCCTTTATACTACTTGATACACGTCAACCTCACCAGTACGTATCACCATTTCCAAATGTTCTTTTAATAAAAAAGTGCAAACACTTTCGAAATCAAGCCAAATAAATTCAGAATTCATTCGATCGTTACACATGCATGATCACGACCAAAAATCAAATGAACCGTCTAATTGATCGATCGACCTAAAAGAACCCGTTAAAAACTAAACCACCTAGCGAATATTCTTTTACGAACTTTCTTGAAAATGATGTGAATTAACAATGCATATACATGATATATCTTTGGATTTTAGTCCATGAGAACTTTAAATAAAATAAAAAAAATACACAAGTAGGCGAGAGAATATTTTACCATGGAAGGCTGTTCGGGCGGATGAACAGCGTCACCCAACATTCTTTTTGTTCTCCAAATACAAATGACGTGATTGTTCTATGAGATATTAACGATATTGTAATCCTATAAGGAGCGAATGGGAACCTGGAGCTTATCGAAACATTGTCCTTTAGAGTTGAAGTGAATGTGGGGAACCATTGGAGAGAGACGAAGCTCCATGTAGAAATATTTAATTATAAAATAAAATGAGAAAAAAAAATGAAAAGAAAATCGATTATAGAGAGAGAGTAAGGCGAAAGAAGGGGTGCATTTGATTGTGGTGAAGGAAATTAAGGTTAGTTATATAAGGTACAAATGTAGGGTGTGCGTACAATTGTCCGACTAACTTGCTTACCCATTGAGTTTTATTTTATTCTTTATATATTTTTATTACGTATTTATTTATTTTAATAGGTTTGTTTTGAAAATTTCTTTAATTATTTTACAAAAATAGGCTTGTCAGCAATAAAGGATCAAAGTCTTTCAAAATGTTATATTTTTATCCTTAAAAGTTATATAAAACTTTCAATTTCAATTAAGGAAATTTACAAGAAAGTTTTAAGATTTTGAGTTAGTTAAGGGTTTGTTTTCAAATTAAATTTTATTTATATATAAAGAGACAGATTACTGACTAAAACTTCGGAATAACATTTTGTGGTCAGTTTCACAGATTTATCCACTATCTCGTCTTTTTTTGTTAATTCATCCAAATTTTGGAGCTTTTTCATTAATTGATCAAAAGTTTAGAGGCTTTCATTATTTTTTACTAATAACCAAAATATTTGGATTTTTTTTAAAATTACATTTAAAGTAATGTATATTATATGATCTAAGTTAATTTGTATCATTCTCCGTTTTCTTTCTTGCTCTTTCTCGGTACATCTTGTGTTTTCGTCATCATCGTCGAAACCAACAACAAAAGGCTCACTCCCAAGCATCAACTACAATGATTTTTCAAAATCATTCATTCACAACTTTGCGATCATCTGTGATTCTCGAAATGTAGAAAGGAGAAAATCCTTGTTGATCACATGGGTGTCCCTGTTACCTAACCATGACTTGAACCATGGTTCCAACAGTCAGATGTTCCTATTACCTAACCATAACATGAACCATGGTTCAAACCTATACACTAATGGCGTTGGCCATAATGTTGTTAACAATAGAAGATGAATCACACATGGTTCAACCAATGATACATTGACTTAAGTCTTACTTGACCCCTATTTCCTTACAAAAGGGCTTGAAAACCATGAAAAATGAACCATCGAGCTTAAAAAACTCAACTCACTATTATTTACTGAAAACTACGAAGAGTGTTAACTCTAATTGTAATAAAAGTCAACGTGTTATCCATCATAAACTATTAAACTATTAATTTGGTATATCAACGAGCTATCCATCGATACGATTATGTTACAATCGTTATCAAAAGTTCATCATTTATCAATTTTTTTCTTGCCAAAAACAAAAGCATTCTAGTAGTCCCAAATAGATTAAACGTAATAATGACAACCACTTGTAAGTATTTCCTTAGCGCATTATTAATATTCAAGTGATATACAAAGAAAGTAATTCAATTCACGTTCTATAACCAAGTTATAGGCCGATTACACAAGTTTTTCAAATTGGATAATTTTAGCGAAAATCTTTTGTGATAAAGGATACATAAACAAGTGAATTCTGAGGCATATATTGGATTAAATATGTCTAATTAAATTTAGTTATTATCGATGCCATAAATCTAGGAGTTATATACTATGTCATAATTGATAATTGATATACTATAACTAGATCCAAATGAATGTGATAAATGATACCTAACCATTTGTTTGTTTTGCAACTTGGATCCTAGATTTTGATAGTTAATGTTTTTGGAAACTAAAGGGGTATTAATTATTGAAGATTAAATATCAAAAATACTAAATGGGTTTTGTTAAAGTTATATATATATATATATATATATATATATATATATATATATATATATATATATATATATATATATATATATATATATATATATATATATATATGGTTATGTTCGTGTGAGACGACCTAATTTTGTGACACCGTAAGACGCATTTTTTTTATTTTTTTTATTTTTTTTTAAATTTTTTTTAGTTAATTCAAGTTCCAAAAATAATATTTAAAAAAAGAATTTTTGGATTTTTCCATTTACTTTGCATTTTAAAATTATTTTTTAGAATATGTCAGTGTAATATTCTATTAGAATATTTCACGTATTTTTCAAAAAATGAAATTTATTTTTATTTTTTTTTATTTTTTTATTTTTATATAGTTAATTCAAGTTCCGAAAATAATATTTAAAAAAAGAATTTTTAGATTTTTTCATTTATTCTGCATTTTAAATTATTTTTTAGAATATGTCAGTGTAATATTCTATTAGAATATTTCACTTATTTTTCAAAAAAAACGGAATCTTTTTTATTTTTTTTAGTTAATTCAAGTTCTGAAAATAATATTTAAAAAAAGAATTTTTGGATTTTTTCATTTATTTTGCATTTTAAAATTATTTTTAGATTTGGTCTCACGGTCTCACAAAATTTGAATGGTGTCAAATGAACTTGAACATATATATATATATATATATATATATATATATATATATATATATATATATATATATATATATATATATAATCCTCTCTCATTACCATGAATAGTCATTTCTTTTATGATCTGAGAAAAAAACATTCAATAGATACAATTTCAATGAATGAGCTCATGTCTTGAGTGCCCGAAAGCTGTACACTCATAAAGGACCTATTAATAAACCCCCTGCTTTGAGAAATAAACATTAACATGATACTTGATAAAGAAATCCCTATGATGCTGAGGATGCTTGTAGCATCATACTAGGAATAGTTATTCCTAAATTTCAGAAAGTCTTGGATAATTTAGATATATATTTGATGATATAACTGTAGGGTTTTGAGCATTTTAACACTCCTAAGTGTACATGCAACCCTAAATACCTTGGATCTATGTTTTCTCTATTATACATGCAATATGAACTTTCCAAGATATTCATCCTAACTAGCATAATAACATTGATTCAAATGAATATATCAAGTTAGAATTACATACCTCTTTGATGTAGATTGTCATCATGAACCTTGAGTGCCTAGTGCCCCAAGTGTGACACCTCAAATGGTTCACACAATACCTAATACACTTGGAATAGATTGAGAGAACATACAAACTTCATGAAATCGGCTAGCCCTTCATTCTCACACATAGTCACAGATTTCTTGAGCCATGGGATTCTTTTATATGGTGGCTATTAGGGTTACACATGTAACTCATAACTTTACCCATTCCTTATGCTCCATGGATTTTAACCTTCATGGAGTATCCATGGGTCACCCCATGGACTTTGTCCAACATAAGGAATCTTGGATCACAAGCCCACATATATAAGAATGAATAATTTACACAATTAACCCATATATTTAATTAGTCTCCTTTTTTATCACTTAATTAATTCCAAATTAATTCTTGATCAATACTAATTAAATAACCTTATTAATATATTAGAACTTATAATATACTAACAAACCTTAAGTGTTATTTCTCTCATTATAGTGTATCCAATGCATGATGTCATGCAACCCTAATGGACCATGCCGGGTCGGATCAAGTCTCACCAATTATAGTTATGGACTTAGATATTAATCCAACAGTCTCCCACTTGGATAAGTCTAAAACTATTATTGCGTATGACTTCAAGAACCGACTGGAAATCGTAGCTCTCAAAAGCTTCTGTCGAACTCTGACCTTGTCGATGAACTCTGACCTTTGTCAATGACTTGTCCATTAGATAAGGGATCATGTATTCCTCCATTCTAGATATCATATGGACTGAGACATGGATTATAATCATTCTCTCTGTCCATTTTTTGTTTCCCGATTTCCGATTTATGACAACTAACTAATTGAACAAATCAAATCAGTCCAGGCCTGGCCGAACACTTACATTTGTCATCATCAAATCATCGAGGGGCCCACAGATATTGCTTTTATCCCGAAGGTAAAAGGAATGGATAAACTTCAACTCATATGGCTTGTTCTACTACTTGTTGAATCATACACAAAGGCATGTTTTATAACATCGAGTTACCAAATGTGTTTTCATGCAATCAATGTACAACCAACTCATAGTAACAATTCATATGTCTAGGTTTGAAGAATATAATATATTATTGTCTCATGATCACTCATGATAAAATCTATGAAGTGATTTCAATGAGTGCGGGTTGAATCTAATACTCAGAACTTATGAGCACTCATGAGTGTTGTAGCCCTTTCTCCAACATCTTAGACCTCTATAAGCCAACCCATGACAGTCTTAATTCATATCTACTTCCAACATATAACCGACTGTGGATGGTTTGAATAACTTAGTCATCCAGAACAATGATATTGTTATTCAAGAAGTTAAAACATGCAAAGTGAAACACAATAATAATTGAATCCAATATGGTATCAAAACCTATGAGCATAAATAAAACACCTTTTATTTATCACCATATGATTACACATTATTCATTGTATATTGTTTCAGCTATCAACTTTATTCTTGAATTTAAAACAATAATTGTCCCATGCTCCAAGCATGTACACTATGTTTTCTAAACACTAGTCATGCCATACACCAAGTATGCATACTATGTTTGTCTATGATATTTACTTTGTGAAATAAATCAATTGAACATAAATCCAATGATCCTCTTTTCACAATTTCAAATCCTTACTGCAAATGCAAGAATTCCAAATTCATGCCATTTACTGAAATCTGTTAGATTCTAAACTTATATGCATTGATCCTCTTGTAATTATTATGTACAAAGTCAGAAATACTTGACAACAACCATTACAGAGCATTCCAAAGGAGATAAGCTCCTTGGAAACATCCTTCTTGCATTAAG